TGGAAAAAGCCCCCGGAGCCTCTCAGAAGTTTTGCCACTGACTTCAATGGCAGCAGGAGCAGGCCCTCAGCTAGCTATACCTGCAACTTTACCTTTAGCTGATTTTCAAGCTGTGTTTCTAGATGATGCAATACCAGTATCTTCTGTTTTAGGGAGTCCAGACGAAACTGCTGCTGCACATCAAACTGAGCCAAGAATTTTTGTTGTTGTAACAACATTCTGGTAAAGGAAAGCAGGCTAGTTCAAGAGGGTTTAGTGAGTTTACCTAAAGAATAGATCTATTTTTGTGCTATTTAGAAAATTTCTTACAGAGTGAGACACTCTGACTATTAAAATCACCCCTTAGAGCCAACAAAAAAAAAAAAACCCATTAGTTTTGCCAAAGCAATTAATTTTAACAGCTTCCATAGTCACTAAATGGAATATGTTTTTTTTTTCTTTTTTTCTTTTCTTTTTTGGGTATCTCTCCAAACTGCAGGGGCTTTGGATAGTCTTTTGGTAAGAATCAGGCCCTCTTTTGTAATGTTCTACGATTAGAGGCTGACATAAAAAATGATGTTATATTCTGCATGGTATTTTCAAATCAGCTCTTTTGTCTTTCCCTGTATCATCCATGTGCCAAGAGGACTTACTTGTGGAAGCACAGCTAAAAGAATTAGGAATTTCACTCTTGGTATTACACAGCTTAGTTGAGACTGAGCCAAACAGTGCTTCTATTAGCAAATGTATTCTTTGCGTGTCTTGGTTTGCTGGCCAAAGATTAATATCAGTACAGTAGAACTGGAATTTCTGTAACTCAGCTGAATCTGAAATGCTTCTTTCCTCCAATCAGTTATTATATTAGTGCTATTAGTCACCCATGAGATTCCTGAGAACTATTAGTGCCTTTGATCTCCTAGAGCAGTATTTCTCAACCTGGGGGTTGCGGGACAGGTTTAGATGGGGCTTCGGGTGGCTTCTGTCCCAGCCCCCATGTGGCAGGGGTTGGGCCACGCCAGCCCCCTAACTTTTCAAGCCTTAGTAAAGGAGGAGGGGTCATGATTGTTTTTCTAAGTCCAAAGGTGTTGCCGGCACAAAAAGGTTGAGAGAAACACTGTCCTAGAGCATTCTCAAATACATCTATACACCACCAACTGATCGAGGCCCATTTTAATGTTGAATGCTTATGGAATGTTGGCTTTTTCTAATTGCTCTTTGAGCATGGAATGAAACAACTGAATTGAGGCCCTAAACCAACCACCAGTGAAATCAATGGGAGCCTTTCCATTTGTATGAATAGGAGCTTTCCCACTGATTTCCTTAGAACCAGGATTTGGCCTTAGAAGAAATCACAATGGCAAGTGTGGAGCAAGTGTTGATGATTAATTTTTAAGATATTACTTCGGATTAACAAAAAACTACATTCTCCATCACTATGTACTTCTGCTTGTACTAAGGTTGACTTCATTGTATTTTATATGAAATATATGATGAAGAAAGTAATAAAGTAAGCAACAGCTACACTTTGTGAAATGAGGTGAATTGTTTCATATCTAAAACCAGTGATGAAGGCCAGGGACGGCTCTAGCTTTTTTGCTGCCCCAAGCATGACAGGCAGGCTACCGTCGGCGGATTGCCTGCGGGAGGTCCCTGGTCCCGCGGATTTGGTGGCATGCCTGTGGGAGGTCTGCCGGTTCCGCGGCTTTGGTGTACCAGCCGCCGAATTGCTGCCGAATCCGCAGGCCCGGTGGACCTCCTGCAGGCATGCCGCCGAAGGCTGCCTGACTGCTGCCCTTGCAGGGACCAGCAGGGTGTCCCCCATGGCTTGCTGCCCCAGGCACGTGATTGGAGCGCAGGTGCCTGGAGCCGCCGCTGGGGAGAGTGATGGACAGTGAGATCTTTCCTACAACCCTTAGTTGCATGGATTCCCTTCTAAAGAGTAATATTACAAATGAGGATGAAGAGCAGGGACTTGAGCAATGATTTCCTGTGAGTTAGAGGTAGCAGAATATCTGTACAAATGCTTAACCTGGCTGATGTGTCAAAATGAAACCTTCTGTGTCACTCCTCATGCTAAGTCAGGTCTTTTTGAAGATAGTACAGAAAAGAAAAGATTACAAAAACAAATATCTCACAAACTTCATGACTTAGGGCCCAGTCCTGCAAACACATGCAAAATGGAACCTTTTACTCTAGTAAACAGTACATCCGTTAGTGAGTGCTTTTGGGATCAGGATCTTAGTTGTGTAAAATCATACGTAGCAAATTATTGATTTTGATTGAATAAGAATCCATTAACTATACTAATACTCTAAGGCCTGGATCCATTTGGAGGATCTAGCCCTAAATATAATACAGTATCTTTGAAAGCACAGGATGCTAATTGTATTCTTCTTTGCATTTTAAATAAGGTTATTCATGATCCCTTAATTTTATCTTAATTACAGTATACATTTACTCAAAAATGAACAAGAGTACTTTCAGTGTTTTAACCAGCTTAGACAGAATATGATGTATCTGAAAGCAGCAGTCTCAATGTCATATTTACTTCAAAGAACTTTTAAAAGTTGTACATGGCTTGAATTTTTTTTTTTTAAACTGTTCTGATAGCAAGTGCCTTATGTGATCCTTTATGTACTGTGATTAATGAACATCAAAATGTTGAATAGTGACAGAGCAATTCTCTGAGGTCAGATGCATATAAATTGAGACTACACTTTCCTTTTTCTTTAAAGGCAGAACACAAACGAATGTCAAGTTTTTGTGGTCTGTTATTTAATCACAGCTCAGTTCACAAAACTGAAACAACTCACAAGATTTAAATATCAAGAATAAGTAATATTCCTGCCTGCTCTCACCTTTGATGGACGGCAGATGACGTGTTCAGGGTGCCTTGATTCCTTTTTTCTTTCAATGTTTGTTCATTTTCTTCTTGTTTTTTTCTGAGTCTGTTATTTTCAGTCCTTTCTGCTAAAATAACATTTCTGTAAAATCTTCTGCTCAAAATAACAAATCCTGTGATTTTTTACTTTGAGTTGTGACAATATATTAATTTAATTTTCTTATCAGCACAATTCAATATAATCCCAGTCTTTCCAAAGTTAGTGTTGTTTTAGTGTGTAAAGTACATCTTACATACACCTGCTGTGTATACTTATGCTACTGTAATTTGTTTTATAATCAGTTGAAAAATTGGCCAGTCTTTTTGTAATTCACTTTTCCAGAAAGGCTCGGATGCAGGTGGTAATTTTCAGGCCATTATTAATTTTATCCACTTTTTCCAGCAGACTGAGTGATGTACAGGAAATTCAAGTGACAGGTCATAGAACTCAGCCCAGCTTACAGTCTAGACTTCTGCTAGCCACAAGTCCTTCATGCTAACAACTAGGTTGTGAAGTTTACAAGGCATACCCATTTTGATTTCTTTCTGAGGGTGTGAGGAAGAAAGCAAGAACAAGCTTGGCTAAACTCAAGGGCCTAATCCATTCTGGCTTTAACTACACTGAAGTCAATGAAATTTGCACAAGGAATGGATGTAGTCCCAGGTTTCTAAACCTGTTTAGTTTTATTAATCCAGGGGTCGGCAACCTTTCAGAAGTGGTGTGCCGAATCTTCATTTATTCACTCTAATTTAAGGTTTTGTGTGCCAGTAATACATTTTAACGTTTTTAGAAGGTCTCTTTCTCTAAGTCTATAATATATAACTAAACTATTGTTGTATGTAAAGTAAATAAGGTTTTTAAATTGTTTAAGAAGCTTCATTTAAAATTAATTTAAAATGCAGAGCCCCCCGGTCCAGTGGCCAGGACCCGGACAGTTTGAGTGCCACTGAAAATCAGCTCGCGTGCCGCCTTTGGCGCACGTGCCATAGGTTGCCTACCCCTGTATTAATCTTATGCTTTAATGAAGAGTACAGGCACCACTTGTGCTAACCACTGCAGCAGGCTCCTTGTTTTCCTAAGTACAGGGGAGCACGTGATACAAGCCCAATCCTCTCCTGAATATAGTGTGGCAGACTTCCAAGTGGACGAGATGGCAGCTGTTTCCAGCAGTACGTCAGGCACAGCTGGACCTGTAGTAGACAGTAAGATAAGGAGAAAGCAAAACAAGAGGTAGGGAGCAAGAAGCAGCTGTCACGGGGCTAAGAGTGGCTAAAGTAATATGCAAGGTTGGTAGATTAGCTCAACCCGAGCATTGTGTCAAAGGGCAGCATCTGAAGAAAATGCACCAATTGGAAGTTTCTCAGACAGGTTATAGTTAATGGCTAGTGGCAAGAGTTACAAGATAGATGTAAGTGCTATACAATTCTGTCTCTTAACATAATAAAAACAAGAATCACAAAAGAGAAATAGTGGTTCATAGTTATTAAAAACCTAAGATGAATAGCAGTAAAGGCACATGGGTCTTCAATATTCTTTCACTCTAGTAATTCATGATTGGTTTTTGCTTGATTTGTGATTCTTCACTGGGTGTGTCTTGGGCCACATAGGTCTAGATCATATTATCGAGGGTCTAATACACTCCTGTTTTTATTACCAACATAAATAAATTTCTGCTCTATCATGCCAGTAGGTTTATAGTCAAGTAATACAATGACAGTATTTTCCCCCAAGTATGGATCTTTAATCAAAGAGCAAAACCGCATTCTTAACAGCTGCTTATAAATTTAAATCCCACACAGCTTGTAAGTAGTAATACTGATGTGTGGAACCATCAATATTATCCAAACAGACAACAAAATGTTCTAAATGAGCAACTGCCATAACTCTCACTCCATATTTTGTCACTCAGTCATGAGTGATATTCAAGGCCCTTCTTAAGCAAAGCATTTAGTCATATGCTTAAATCCAACTCTAGTTAGGAAAATATTTTTGCACATGCTTAACTGTAGCCAGTTGCTTAGGCCCATCAAAGACACTGGGATTTAAGCAGGTTTTTAAGTTCAGAGCTAACTAAGGATAGCACTGCTGAATCAGGGCCAAAGCCTTCAAGAGAGACTCTGAATGACACATACAGGGACCCTTTACTGCATGGCTCCCATTCAACAATGCAGTCTCTAAAATGCATTGGAGTTCCTACCCCTTGTATTACATGCTTCAGCATAGAAAACTGAATGGTAGGTGGTGGTCATTGTCTGGTACAGCCAAGGTCTTAGTTTGATGAACTGGTAACATTTTGGAAACCAAAGCCTATAATTATTATACTTCCAGCACATTGTATTGTTTTTGAAGGTGCAATCAGATCTACAAATTCAATTTACTTTGGGAAGTACTGTTACATTCTGTTATGTTTAAAGATCTTTATACGTGGTGACAGAGTGCTAACAGCAGCACCCTGACCACTGACGGTGCTGCAGGCTGGGGAAGGCTGCAGGCCCAGCTGAGGGCAATTATATACTTTCTGGTAGGGGATTGTGAGCACCTGGGTGGCAATCACTGGGTTAACAAGGTAATTGGGGGTGTATGCGCAGCGGGGGAGGAGAATATAAGGAGAGGAAACAGGAAGCAAAGGTGGCTGACAAGGAAGCTTGGGTGGGCTGCAGGGCAGTCTGTCCTTGCTACAAGCCTATGTTGCATAGTTTATCTTTTGCTAAGTGTACCCTCTTACATAACTAAACAGCCCGGTATACATTTGTGACCGCAGAACCACCTGAACTGGCCAGGCAGTGAGATTCACTAGGTAGCGAAGGAGGGGCCCTGTCACATATGCACACATACATTAATGGCATTTGTCAAAAGTAAAGCTTAACACCACATAATTGCTGCTATTCTTCATACCCTGAAAGGATTTCAGCTGTTGAAGTTTTCTGTTTTCATGCCCGTCCATGATTTTTTCTATTTGCTGGTAGTAGCATTGCACCAGTCTATTGACACCATTGCTGGTCACATATACACTCTCTACAGCTGCTTCTATCAGTCTCTCCTGCAATACACAGTACAAGTAGCTATTAATTTATTAAGGGAAGAACTAAAATGTCTGTCTGCTTAAGAAGCAAACTAGAAGACATGCAGAAATCTTCGAAGGGTGAGCGTGCAAGTGCATGTCTGTGAATTTAGTACTTGTGAAATGTGCCAGACTGATGATCTGAAAAATAGGGTACTCTGTTTATCCACAGAACAGTACAACACGAATAGTGACAGTGCAAGCTTCCCTACTAATATGCTTCAATCCTCATCTGCAGGGGTTCAGTCTCCATGACCCATTCCGTCCTAGACTGCCAATGAACTACAATGCACACACAGCTCTCCCATTTTTCATTGTACAGTAAATTAAGCAGCGTCTCTTCTTATCGCTGCCAATCTTGCCATATACTGTAATATGGGTTAACCAATTTTTGTCTTGACTTGGCAATAATTCTGTTTGCTATTTCATAGTATTTATTAACCTTCAACTCCTTGTAAATGGGTAGTGGTCCCAAAATGCTCCTAACCATACTAATTCTCTCTGTCTTGGAGAGAGCTCTCAACTCTCTTATACTTTTGAGTTGGCCCTAAGATCTGGTCTGGCTGCCAGGATGAGTCAGCAGAAGAGCTCTGTATTTCTATACAGCATTTGTAAAATCATATAACAGGTTGTAGTTCTTCCGCTTGTGATGCTTCCTTATGCTGGATAATAAATTACTATAGTGTCCCTCCATTTTATCAGAAAGTATTTCCTAAAAAGGCTGTTAGGGACTGATCAAATACCTTGAAGTCCTCTCCATCCTCAGAGCTTTGCTTAGCAGCTTCTTGCCGGGCATGCTGGAGCAAGGCCTGCCCAATCACTTGTTCCATGTGCTGCTGCACAAGCTGAAGAGCTTCTTGGATTTCTGCAACTAACTGCTGATGAAATTCCAAACGTGTTTGTTGAGTTTCCTCCTCCAGCTTCTCCTCTTCTTCCAGAATGTGAGATTCCTAGTAATCAGATAAAAGCTATAAGACAGCTAACATTCCACTACATATCTTTATGGCCAAATAACTGGGCGTTAGACTCTTGATTCTTTAGGAGACAAAGACATCCTTGGGATAAGTCCGTTGATCTTAATAGCTATATTGAAGTTGTGTGACCCTATTGTATGTGTGGTTTTTAAAGGAAATTCCTTTCACCCCTGCAACAAGGCTGTCTTTGACTACATCTATATGTACCTATTTCTGGCTCCCTCCAGAGATAGGTGAGTGGTTGTGTATTTAGAATGTTCATCATGTGTACTACTAGGGGGTAGTGTGCTGCTGAAGGTGTCCTCTTTGAGATAAGATTTGAAATTGAGGTATTGACCACTTCTGGGAGCTAAGCTTTCAACAGCTAGTGTGTTAACCTCAGTGACCTGGCTTTATTCCAATCTGTGTAACTTCAATTGCTTACCACTGTTTCAATTGTTTTGTATTTTTCTTTCCATTTTGTCCTAAACTGTTGTTCAGTTTTGCTAGGCATGGTTAAATGGATGATGCGTTTCACCCCAGAGGCAGCTGCATTGAATGAAGCAATTCTCATATGGAAAGTGGAAAAACTACTTTGAGATCCTTTGAAGTTCAAGGCACTAAGTAAGAACTATGCTCAGGCACTCAGATAAGATGGTGATGAGGGCAGTATATTGTAAGGTCTTAGAAGATAATACTAATGCAAAACACCTGTTTTCTCTAGAAGGCTGAGAGAGGGGGGAAATGAGGCACATTTTAAACATATATTCAGTAAAAGCCAGAGAGAATAAGTAAGGTAAAAAGACTTTGTAGACAGGAACATATTCCAGGCACTGCAATTATTTCTATATCCCTTGACTCTGTCTGCTATAAATGCTATTTACTTAATTGATACCTATTAGTGATGGCAGAAGCTGGTCAGGTGCTGCTTGCACACAGCAAACTAGGGATTTGTTGAATCCCAAGAAGTCCCTCCAAATGGGAAGAACTGAAAAGACCACATTTCTGAAGCAAATTCTCTGTGCTACCCACCTGTGAGCGTACAGAAAGCTAACACATAAATAACATGGCATAGCTCACTGCTGAGGGATCTTGGGCAAGTCTCTTCACTTCTGTGCCTCAGTTTTTCCATCTGTAAAATGGGGATAATGATACTGACTATAGCTGGTTGAAAAAATTCAGCAAGACTTTTCTATTGAAAACTGTTTTGCCAAAACTGAAATGTTTTGTGCAAATGTGATGGTTTCAATGAAAATTTCATCAGGAAGTTTCTCAGCTCCAGGCTGGAATTTCTGAAGGTACGGGGGGAGAGAGAGAGAGAGACAGAAACCAACCCACTCTGAATTAGCAGAACAGGGAGCTGAAACTGGTTTCCTACATCCAACATAAATGCTCTAACTACTAGGCTACTGGCTGGGGAGGTGTGTGGTGGGGAGGGGTTGGTCTCTGTCTCATGTTTTTTTTTGTGAAAAATTCCAGAAGCTCTAATTTTTGATCTGCAGTGGAACAAAAATAAATTTTGAAACCTTGAAATTTTTTGCAAAATGGAATTGTTTACCAGCCAGTCCTAATACTGATCTCTTCTGTAAAGTGCTTGAAGATCTGCTGATGAAAAGTGCTAAATAAGTGCAAGATACTGTTGTTATAGCAGACAGCTTCCAGGAGAAATAGTTCAGTGTTTAAAAACAATATGTCATGTAGGGCTCAGGTTATTCAGATGAGTCCCATGATTACAGCAGATTTCAAATCCTTCGGATTGAGTCTTTATACTGTGACACATCTTGTCCTTTCAAATCAAAATGTCACACTAATATGAAAAAACTATGAAGTCCTTGTGGCACCTTAGAGACTAAAATTTATTGGGGCATAAGCTTTCGTGGGCTAAAACCCACGGATGAAGT